ATGAGCGGCTGTCTGTGATGCTAGAAGGCAAAGTAGCTTCATACGGCATAGGGCAGGCAGAATGGCATTAACCGTGTCTTCGCAATTCAATGTGGATACCTAAGCCCCGTAAATGAAGACGGCTGTTCACATTGCCAGCACGCTTGATTTTCAACCTAAATTTACCGTCTGCAAGTAGAATATCCTGCATCTTTTAAATGCTTGTTGCACATTTTTTGCACTCACCTGCCGAGGTTTATATGATTTATTTTGCGATTGTCAAAGCGACATTAGACGCAGTGATTTTGTACACATATTAAAATCCACTCGCGATATGCTATTTGTTGTGGATGGCAATATGTTCACGAGCTAAATGCCAATGTTGAGGCCTGCCAGCCAGGATGAAAGGGCTTCAGGAAAGAGAGTTCGTGCATTTCGATTTAAAGCTTTCGTGACTGCAGGGATTCATCTTCTTGGTTCTTTCGGCAAAGTCACGTAGAAGGGAAGTAATAAAATAATAAAAATAAAACATAATAAAATAAAATAATTCTCACGACGTTTCGGCTACAACGCAAGACGGCTGCTTGCGTTGTAGCCGAAACGTCGTGAGAATTATTTTATTTTATTATGTTTTATTTTTATTATTTTATTACTTCCCTTCTACGTGACGGTTGCTTGCGTTGTAGCCGAAACGTCGTGAGAATTATTTTATTTTATTATGTTTTATTTTTATTATTTTATTACTTCCCTTCTACGTGACGGCTGCTTGCGTTGTAGCCGAAACGTCGTGAGAATTATTTTATTTTATTATGTTTTATTTTTATTATTTTATTACTTCCCTTCTACGTGACTTTACCGAAAGAACCAAGAAGAAGAGTTCGTGCAGTTGTTTTGCTCCTATATTACACCAATGAAGGAGCTCATACTATGAGCGATATTGACATACAAGCAACAAGTCGTGAACACTCCCTGCTTCCTAAAGAATTGATCGTGACACTCCACAGTAGGTAAACCACTTGATTCACTGATGATGATGACGATGATTATATATCTTTACGGATTTAGCATGAGACCTACAGTAATGTAAACATTTGGGATGAGTCTGCCCTATGAATGAAACCAATATACTGGAAATCTGTGAAATTTCGTCCAATATAAATCATTATTGAGATTTTAATTCAACCTCGGAACCATAATTTTGGGGTCCCAAATTCTACATTTCAGTTTACGGCTTCATGTAGTTTTAAGCATAAACTACATTTGTGTAAAACATCAGCTTTCTAGCTCGTTTCAAACATAATACATATTTGCTTCATTGAAGTTTGTCTATGGGTATGAGATGCTTTAAATGCAGTATATATTTTGTATATGGCAGGCATTGTTCCATGAATCGAAAAATCGAGGAATGTATGTTTCAGCAATGTATCTGTCACGAGTTTCTGAATGTGCACGATATATAGGCACGAATCATATATAGATATAAACAAACAAGCATTTTGGAAGAAATGAAGTAGTCATGTTTTTATTACACACTAATCTAGATAATCATTGTCTCGGTCAATACATTATTAATGATAGTCATATCGTGAATTCCGGTCTCTGTTGTTATCATTTAAAAAACCTGATGAATAATGCTCGGCAATCCGTTAATGTCTTATGAACGAGCTTAGCACACGGTGTATTCATCACCTATTCTTCAATCACTATTGGATAAATCCGACTTATTCGAAATATCCAACGACAGTATTGCGGTTTGCACTTTTTATTTTAAATGTTAATCAACAGTAAAAAAAAACAAATGTTTACACTCATTATCTTGTGGAGCAACGTAGAAGCCACTGGCGTAAAAAAAAAAACCCGATTTACATAGAAATTGTAACAAAAAATCACATATCGCAGCCTGCTGTCTAGCGAGACTAAATATACTCGAATTACGCATTTAGCGGCACACGTGGGGGGGGGGCTTTGTTGAGGTTGCATGCGAGCCCAGAAGCCTCAGAGAGCCCTTCTTGCTGGTTCGCTTCGGGTTCCCCACGGGCATTCGCGTACCTCGGTAGAGCCCCAGCCAACGCTCGCTCATCGCCTGCTTGCATCCCGTGTGCCTCCCCCCCCCCACCCTTACGTGCGAGTGAAGAGAGCGTTGCTCACACGCTCTCTCCCCTCGTTTGGTATTCATCCAAGAGCTGTGCGCCCTCTTCCCTCTGTATCCGCCCCCCCCCCTTCCCCCATACCACAACCCCCCAAAAATCTCGGCGTCGTTGATTTTGTCACGCGTGCGTGCGCGTGCCTGTATGACTCAGCCTGCAATGGGTACCTAGCGCGGCGTGTAAGCCGTCAGCGCTGGGGAGACAAAGGCGGTCGAGCGTAGTGTCGGCTACATCGCCCCCCTCGTGCGCTGTGCAGACCTCCATAGGTTGTCACCGTTAAAAACACTTGCTCCAACAGTCTGTTATGGTTATATAGAGGGGATCTTTGGCTTTGTTTTTTGGGGGGGGGGGGTATGGTTTGTGGGGAGCGGTAGTGTAGCGGTTAGCGCGCTGCGCTACGAACCTGGCTACCCGGGTTCGATTCCTGCTCACGGCAAACACCAGTGACGATTATATTATCTGAACCGGTCCTGGGTCTCCCCTAGGTCGACTCGGCCTCAAAATGAGTACCCGGTGCGGTGTGTAACGTCGCCACTGGGGAGACAAAGGCGGCCGGCCGGGCATGGTCTTGGCCACCCACCCCCTCGTGTGGCGTGCCGGCCTTTATAGGTGCTCGCTAACAGCACTTGCCCCTACAGTCTGTTAAGGCTATACGGGGGATCTTTGTCTTTGTTATGGTTTGTACGCGTTTTTGAGTGCGTTAGTGTCCGCTCGCATTTGTTAGTACGTGTGTACACAATGTGTGTCGGTGTATTTTTGTGTGTTGGGAAGCGGTAGTGGTGGAGCTGTTCGCGTACAGCGCTACGAACCCGGCGACCCGAGTTCGATTCCCACACACAGCCAACATCAGTGGCCATTATCTAACCCGGTCTGGGGGCTCCCCTAGGTCGACTCAGCCTCATTTGAGTACCTGGCACGATGTGTAAACATCCCCACTAAGAAGACAAAGGCGGCCGGCCGTGGTGTTGGCCACCCACCTCCTCGTGTGCCGTTCCGGCCTTCATAGGTGCTCGCTCACAGCACTTGCCCCAACAATCTGTTAAAGACTATACGGTGGATCTTTGTCTTCCATGTGTGTGTGTGTCGACGCTTACACAACCATGCACGGCAGTCGCCGCCTCGTTCATTTCTCCGTTTCGCTCTCCCGCCCGAGCTAAGCATTCTCGCCAGCAGCGGGGTGGATGATGAATTTCTCGAATTCACTGCACATCAATTGATTATCTGCAAAAATGAGCAGACGTTCCATCCGTCGGTAAGGTATTTTTAAAAAAATGTAATTTATATATAAACTGCGCGTCAGTCGTCAATAACAAATCACAACATATACATATGGTTGCGTAATTACGTAATAATCCCATTGATTTATGAACAATTATCTCGTAATCTGCCATTAATTAATTAGCCCATCGCTTAATACCATTCGGAAGGGCAATTCTAAATGGGCTAAGTGGGGTGGGTGGCGTTTAGTGGAGGAGTGCGAGGGAGACTTATAATGGCTCATGCGTCAGACAAAAAATTCCCACATGAATGCACACACACACATGTATTCACACACACACACATGTATGCACACACACATACATGTATGCACACACACACACACACATGTATGCACATACACACATGTATTCACACACACATGTATTCACACACACACATGTATTCACACACACACATACATGTATGCACACACACACACATGTATGCACACACACACATGAATGCACACACACACATGTATGCACACACACACACATGTATGCATCATGTGTGTGTGTGTTGGCGGGTGGGGAACGGTAATGTAGCGGTAGCAGTAGCGCTACGAACCTGGCAACCCGAGTTCGATTCCCGCTCACGGCCAAAACCAGTGACATAATATCTGAACCGGTCCTTGGCCTCTCCTAGGTCGACTCAGCCTCAAAATGAGGACCTGGTGCTGTGTGTAAACCATCGCCACCGGGGATGCAAAGGCGGCCGGGCGTGGCGCCGGCTACCCACCCCCCCTTCGTGTGCCGTAGCCGGCCTTCATAGGTGCTACTCGCTAACAGCACTCGCTGTTACAGGCAACACGGGGGGGGGGTGTTGGTGGTGGTGGGAATCGTTGGCTTCGTGGCTGCGTGTGGAGGAAGAGGACGCACGCCGAGGAGCCCCGCCTACACGACGCACGCGCCCCGTGCAAACATTCCCACCGAATCGCTCGCCACTGTCTCCCCCCCCCCGACCACCACCACCACCACCACCCCTCTCTCCCGCGTGATGTCACAAGGCGCTCCGCGGGTTGCCTGCCAGACTCTCTCTCGCATCGCGTGCGCTCGTGAATGGTTAAACGTGGCCAGAGCGGGCACTCTTTCAGCGAGTTTTATTTATTTATTTTATTTATTACCATTCTCTCCCCTCCCCTACGCCCCCCCCTCCCATTCGCCACCCAACCCCCCTCCCATCCCCTCCCACCCCCTCCACACACCCTCTGTTTTTCATACCATTATCAGCCGCCACAGTAAATAGGCGGAATGATAAAGCAGCACAGATGACGACAGCGAGGGCGATTGTTCATGCGAGCGCTGGTTCGCAGTCGTAGTTTTTATTTATTTAAATCCGTCAGACGGGAGTACGCACACAGTGCATGCGTAACAGTGGAGGAGGCGCGCGTGCGTGTGTGTACACACACACACATACGGACACATATAGCATCCATTCATAGTTATTTATTTATTATCCGAGCCTGCTGATGCTGCTGCATTGACCGCACCCGCTGCGTTCAAACGGGGAACGGCGAGCGAACGAGCACGGCAACATCTGAGCCCCACAAGGCTCGGTGGGGGGGGGGGGGGAAAGTCGGGCGGGCGGGCGCTTTGGGTGGTGCGCACGGACCGACTGGCGGACTGCTGAAAGACACAAGCGAGGGGATTAATCTCATGCCTTGAAGGGAGATTTCCAGTGGAAACGAGGAGCCACCACGGGCGGGTTCGTCCGCTCGTCCGCTCGCTCGCGCACACGCGCGCGCACGTGCCCCGAGCACAACTGAAAACCTTCCTCCGAACCCACCCTGACCCCGGGGCCTTCCGTGCGAACCGCGCAGGATGGCTCGCTTCAACGATGACGGCCTCGGAGACATCGGCGGCCGCGTCGGCGGCCCCAGCCGACACGGCAGCGCGCAGGGCGGAGGCGGGCAGCAGCAGCAGCAACAGCGCGTCTTCAAGCAGACCAAGGCGCAGCGAGCGCGCACGATGGCTCTGTACAACCCCATCCCGGTGCGGCAGAACTGCTTCACGCAGAACCGCTCCCTCTTCCTCTTCGGCGAAGACAACGGCGTCCGAAAGTTCGCCAAGAGGATCATCGAGTGGCCATATCCTTGTTTTGGGGCGGGGGGGGGGGGTTGTGCGCGCGCGTGTGTGTGCGTGTGTGTGCACGTGTGCGTGTGTGGGTGCGTGCGTGTGCATGTGCGTGCGTGTGCGTGCGTGTGTGCGCCGTTTTGGGGCGGCCGCGGATTGATGGAGTGAGAGAGGAGAGCTATTGGAGCGCCGCGCGGTTTCGCGAGTCGGGTGGTTGGGTGCTGCGGGAACGGTGGTGGTGGCTCTACGGTGGTTCTAACGGTGGTGGTGGTGGCTCTCCGGGCGCTACGCGACGCGGATGCTTGTTTTCTGCTCACTCACTCGCGCGCGCACACACACACAGGTGGCTGCTCTCTCGCCAGCGGTTACATTAACAACAGCAGCGGCGACCATAGGTTTGTTTGATGATGCTAATGATGATGATGATAATAATAGTGGGAGTAATACGCGTCAGTGACAACAGAGCAGCAGCAGCAACAGCTCCGATAGCAGCTGTGGTAGCGGTAGCTGTTGCTCCTGTTTAGCCATCCGAGGCTTCCCCGCGTGCGCTTTGTGTGGAGGCTGTGCATGGGTTACTCTGCGTTTCGATAAATGTGTTGCATTGTGTGCTTCGCCTCGCCGTTGAATCGATCGACAGCCGTTCTTTGGAACCCATCCACCCCTTCCTCCTCCTCCCCCCTCCCTCCCGCCACCACCACCACGACCACTCTATATTCCGACTCCTCTCGCTCTCTCTCGCGCTACCCGCCGCCCGGACCGATATTTCGCCGCTTGTGTGCAAAAAAATCGCCTCCTCGTTTCCACCAAACGTCAACGCCGGTGTCAAGCGCAAGAACGCCTTGTACCGTTGTGTGTGTGTGTGTGTGACGGTGTGGGGTGGGGGGTGCTTGAGCGCGTGTAGGTATGTAGATCGTGGGGGTTAGTGTAATGGATAAGAGAGAGAGAGAGAGGAGATGCTTAATGCATACACTTATACACACAGAAGCCCCCCCACCCACCAATCCAATAAGCATTGGAGACTGTAAACGTGCCTATTGCATACGCCGTGTTAGTACGAAGAGCGCAGATATGAAATTGTTCGAACGGACGCGTCTTTTTTTCGGACGCGCTAACCTCTCCCTGCACGCTACTGGAATAATGAATACACCGAGCGCGACTTCTAGAGCGAGTGTTGTTCATACAGCGACTTGGAGGCCCCCCGTGCTTCGCAAATCCAAAGAGCAGTGATGCTTTGGACCAGACCAAGCTCTCCTCCCGCTCAGCGTGTACAGACTTTTGGGGCAAGTGCTGTTAGCGAGCACCTATGAAGGCCGGCACGGCATAGGAAGGGGTGGGTGTATCAGCACCACGCCCGGCCGCCTTTGTCTCTCTAGTGGGGATGTTTACACATCTCACTCATTTGAGGCTGAGTCAACCTAGGGGAGGCCCAGGACCGGTTCAGATAATCATAAATGGTGGTGGCCGTGAACGGGAATTAAACTCTGGTGAGCCGGGTCCGTAGTGCAGTGCGCTAAGGGTCACACTACCACTCCCCCTACACACACGCGCGCGTGCGCATAGGGTATGGTGTTCGCCTGCGTGGTATTGTGTAGAGCTGTCGTAATGTCAGCTGCCTAAACATCACGACGTTCATTTGTCACCGCGATGTTCCCACCGGCAGTTGCATGTGAGAACAGCAGCGATTAATTAATGCCAGATCAACGCCGGTGGTCAATGCACATGCGTCTATTTGTAGGTGGAGATGCAGAGTGTACAGAAGGGCACCGCGGTGGCGTGATGTTAACTACCTCGCCTGGTGTGCAGGAGCCCGTGGGTTCGATCCCGACCCCTGTTACCTGCGTATTTGGAGCTTGCGTGTTCTCCCCGCAGTCGCGTGCATTTTCCTCCCGTTCCTCTGGTCTTTCCCTCCACATTTAGAATCAACACGCGTTTAAAGTGCTTGACTGCTCTAAGTGTCCACGTGGTAAGCCATTTCGTTGAGCTATCATTTGTGGCCAGGTGGCTTCTGAAAAAGGGCTATATAGGTGAGTGGGCCTGATTCATGTTATGGGGATATGGGACACAGATCAATTGAACAAGGTGCCCTGCCTTGTTCTTCTGCTGAACTGGTTTGGCAGTTGGTAGTCCGTGGGCAGACATCGTTACCACGTGATGCAACGCAAGTTTCGTCGTAATCGATTCATGTACATGGGCAATAAGGATGGGTCATTTGATAACCCCCTCTCATGTCCAATGGTTATCACGTCATTCACTGTTATTGGTCACATAAAGAAATTAGAACCACTTCAGTTCTGCCACAAGTGAAATATTTGACCTGCGCTCATAGATTATGGTGGGAGAAGGTGGGACATAAATAATAGGGGAAGGTTTAAAGACTATGTTTCCACCCCCCTTGTAAACACACTGAACATGAGAGTTATGAACTCCCCATGTAATATGACACACTGATTCAACTTCCCTTACTGCCACCTCTGATGAGCCACATGCAATTGAGATCACACAGCATGCCATAGGTTACATGTCTGTACCATTACAAAAGAGCAGTCTTTCTGCCAAGGAGCGATCGGGCCTGTAAACGGTGGCAAGATGTTAACTACCTCGCCTGGTATACAGTGGGTTGTGGGTTCGATCCCGAAACGGGCACTTTTATATTTGGAGTTTGCATGTTCTGCCCGTGGTTGCATGGATTTTTCACCGGATCCTCTGGGTTTTTCCTCTACTTTTAGAATCAACATGTGCTTAGACTATTTGGCTGCTATACATTTCTGCATGCTCAGCCACTTTGTTAAGCTATCATTTGTGACCAGGTCGCTTCTGAAAAGGAGCTATATAGCTCAGTGGGCCGTATCTGGTAATATATTTAAAAACATTTATTGAGAAATTGGATTCTATTATAAAAAATGTTTTACTCTTCATTCCAGGTTTGATTTTTAAATAATGTCATGCACACTGTAGTTTAAAAAAAATCTGAATAGTTTTTGTAAATGACTTATTGTGCTATTATCACAAAATAACTGACGAAACAGGGTAGAAACAGAAGGGGATAAATGAAATATCATCAGTTTTAACAAATGCAAAAGTAAAAAAAAAATACATTGCCCAATGTTATTCTTCCAACCAGTCAAGCTTAAATTTGTGTTGGAATATAACGCTGCCACATTATTTATCTATGGCCATTCATACGTGATCTTTTATTTCAGTAACTCATGGCTTTTATTGCCACATTTATTTCAGACACATCCCCATTGCCTAAAATAGGACATGCATGGACAAAATAGCATGTCAGATAGACACATGTAATATGTATAACCATAATACCAACTTTTTAAACAAGGCAGTTAAATCACACCGAATGTTTTTTTTTTAATTACGAAGGTTTCCAACAACATATAGCATTCTGGATAATTTTGTGTTGGACAAGCCGTCACTACATCCTCTATGAGTCCCCATTCTGACATGAATTGCTAGTCTTTAATACGAGTACATCCGCAGATGTTTAATAATCATCTACAATCAATCCACTGCTGGATTAAGCCGTTTTCCACCAGCCCTATCATACATGGCATTTAAATTGTCTTGCAGATTCATCGGTACGCTGTGAAATATAACAGGTTGACCAAAAAACTAAAAATTAATTTCTTTATCACTGGAAGGAAAATTACACCTTGATATATTAGCCTAATGGGGGGGGGGGGGCATCTTCTTTCTACCTATTACATGGGATTGTTGATGACGGCAAATGGTAACATAAACACCAGGGGCCAGTCTATGCCCTGGGTAGCTCGGTGGAAAAACTCGGCTCAAAGCGATAATTGATACGAGGGTGGCTGCTGCATATGTGGACGCATGCGCAGCGTGACCCGTGCAATGTCCAGATCAATACATAGTAACCTCAACATCTCCCAGCCTCCCCCCACCCTGCCCCCCGGCCACCCACACCACTCTTCTCTCTTTACATATGTGATATGGTGTGCATTAATAACACGTACGTAATTGCAACAGGAAATGTAGGTTTGAAATATATATTGTTTTATTTTACTACCCAACAAGTTGCTTTTTTTATGAGAGCGATGTGCAATGTAAACACACCGGAGGCGGTTCAAAAATCATTTCCATTCTCTATTTGTTCACCCATTCTTAATTTCTATCCATGAGAAAATGCGGTCCAAAAAATGTATGCTGACTTTCCCTTTTTGGACTGAATTTTTAAAATATCCAAACCTAGGGCAGTAGAATCAGAAGAACATCTATATATATAAAATCGTTCATGTCTGTCTGTGTGTGTGTGTGGACTTTGGCCCATACGCACTTTCATTGGACGGCGGTTGCCCCTGGCAACGGCTAGCCACGCCTTCGCCGCTTTCATTGGACCTGGCAACGGCTAGCCACGCCTTCGCCAAGGGCTGCAGTTTCATTGGACGGCGGTTGCCCCTGCCAACGGCTAGCCACGCCTTCGCCACTTTCATAAGCTCCGTATTTAATTAAATAATAGCCATTACACAGTATTGTTGGAGCGCTAGGGGGGGGGAAGGAACGCCACCCGTACCCTGCCTCTTCCAAGCCGACAATTTTAGGCGAGGCCGCAGGCTTTGCACGCTACTAGGCCTCGACACCCACCACGCCACTCTGAGGTAAATTCATCAAAGTTTTTCCTACTCTTCACTACACCCCCACCACAATGTGTGCTATTAATATTACTTTTAAACCCAACGCGCCAACAATCGATTACTTTAATGTTCACTGTACAAATACTCATTAAGCTGGGTGAGCGTACTGCCAGTCTATCATGTACACTGTAGCCTGCTTATTAAGCTGAGTGCGTGTACTGGCAGTCTATAATGTGGACTCTTGCCTGGTTATTATAATCGATTCTTTATATGTTCTTTGTACAAACAGTCATTAAGCTGCTTGAGCGACCCCAGTTCGATTCCAACTCACGCCCACCACCGCTGACGATTATTTGAAACGGACCTGGCCCTCCCCTAGGTCCACTCAGCCTCAAAAGCGTAACTG